CCTAAATAAGGAGAGATAAAGTAGTTAGAGGAGAGATGATCCATCAGCATTTGTTGTAAATGAGGTCTTATGGAGTAGAGTAAGATAAATAAATGTAAGAAAAAAGAAAGGAAGTTGGTGATTCCTCAGGTGGTAATTGATGCCATTGAAAGCTATTATATTAGATAGATCATTACTGATGAGACTGTCTGTCAATGATGTTGGGTGGGTAGACAGTGTCTCTCTCATCATAAAGCTTGAACACTCTCATGTTTCCTTTTGTGTCAGTGGTTGAATCCATGAACACTTTTAATGTGTACAATCCACATGCTCCAAAACATTTAATGCTATAAAAGCAGTAATCTTCTTCATGACTAGCTGCATCAGAAACATTTTTGTAATAATGACACAGTTATGTCAATTGATGCAAGAAGCTGCAAAAGGATTGGGATAACAATCTAAGTTGGTCTGCTTTAGAGATGGATAATTAAATCTAAATCTCTCTCTTCCAAAACAAGAAAAAAATCAAGATTTTAATTTGTATATTCATGATTTAAAATGTGTAAGAAAGAGTTGAGAATCATAATTTCAAAAGTTCTGAACTAAAATATATTTTTATCGGATGAGGATTATAAGAAAATACTTGTATCATCATCGATCATCGAATGATTTTCTATTTGTGGCATGATGATCCTCATATAGGTAAATAAATATTTTTTTAATTATTATTGATTCAAAAAAATATTTTTTATTATTATTGATGTTGGCATGAGGGATCCATAAATTTAATTTCATCATCTTTCATCAAGTCAATGTTCATGCATCATCTCTCTGTAGGGTGAAAAATCAATCCCTAAACTATAGGAAACAGAAGAAGTGAAAAGAAAAAGTTATTGTTGTACTCAGAAAAAAAGGTTTCTCCTTTCAGATAATCTGAAGGAATGCAGTGAAAGCACTGCCAAGAACATAAAACAAAACACCTGCTACCAAAATTGTTTTTTAGCTTGGACTCAACAAGTTTCTCATCCAAACACACAGAAACACCAATGGAAACAATGACAAAATGGAGGAAAGATCCATCTGCTATAAGGTTATTGAGTGAGATTTTGAGGCTATAGCAGCACTCCTCTAGCCATGAATGGACTTCTGCTGCACTCTCTCTCTCTCTCTCTCTCTCTCAACATAATATAGTTCATCTGAGTCATTGGAGTACTAAACACTCCTTACTTCAATAGGAAGATGAAGACATCAGATAAATCTCACACCTACCCAGTGAACATGGCAATGTGGAAATGACATCACACATTGGTTGTCATGTTGTTTTCACTTGCAAGGATTGAATTGAAACATCAGCAGCTCCAGTTCATAAATTAAGTTCTTAAAGTTGTACTTTGTGCTTGACTACTTCAAAGCTTAAGCTTGAAAAACTTCTAATTATGCTTCATCTTAGTTAATCACAAATGTTTTGTCATCTTAAGAAGCTATGTTGAAGATCTAAAAACTAAAAAAAAAAAAAACACAAATACAAATTAGAGATTAACTATCACACATAAAGAAGAAAACAATAAATATAAATATTTCTTACTTATAAAAAAAATGAAAACTATGAAGTATATGGTACACAATTTTTCATTGACTTAATCTAAACCCAACCTCAATTCTGACAACCTCTCAAATAAATTTTGAAAGAAAAAAAAAATAATCTTAAAATATTTAAATATTAATTTAAAGTTAAGAAGAGAAGAAATAATATTATTTTTTTATTTCCTTTTTCTTTTAATCACAAAAGGAGAAAGTTGGAGTTCACAAAGTAAATGCAATGGCAATGGCAATGGCCGTAATAACATGAGGCTTTGTGAGCTTTCTAGTATTTTCATGTAGGAAGGTTATACCGGCTGCACCCGGTCGTCTACCTGTTCCCCACCGGTATCTTCCGGTCTCCGCATATGAGAGGCCAAACCCACCCTTCCCGTCTCTCGCGACCGTAACGCACAGTCTTCGCCCTCTTGTCTCGTTCTCTCAGTCTGCAAACGCCCCTCCGTTTCCCGACTCTGGCCGCTGCTTGCCACCCGATCGGCTGCTTCTCGGAGCCCTCTGGGGCTCCTCGTCTTCGATCAGGTCTCCGGTGAGTCGATCCGCAGCTGCTTCCCTGGCTCTAGGTGGCGATTTTAGGGCTCCCGAGCTCCGGGTGGGTCCCTCGGTCAAGGGTTTCGGTGTCGATATGCACCGGTCTCGGCAATGTGGCAT